ATCTATGAAAAAGGAATGAAAACCTGTGAACCTTACCCTTTTTTTGGAAGAGTAAGAAATATATATTGAAGAACATTCCTCCACCAGCAGAAGCCTAAAACCTAGTATTGCAGAGCTCCAAGGGCAGGCTGGGGAGCTAAAGGGAGAGGTGGACTGCTCCATTCTGGCCCCTCTGGGGTCTCCCCAGGTGACCTTCTTTTTAGAAAATATGTTATCTCCTAAATGGAAAGGCAGGAACCATTCTGAAAGAATAAAACAGCTAATTTGAGAAGAGATTAAGAGTGACTGGTAGGAAACGAAGAAAGGGGTAAAAGATTATCTTGTTAGATTGCTTCATGTTTTAAAAAGAAAGTGCAAATAATTTTATTATTACTAAAAGGTGATTAACAGTAATGGAAACTATTGATAACGGAGTAACAATTGTGTCCTCACAGTTAAACAGACTCAATCTATCTCTGTCCTTGTGGGTTTTAGCAAAGGTATGGCATGCCTTCTCCAGACTGAGAGGCAGTCATTCTCAAGATAAATCCTGGAACTTCTATTGGCCAGAGGATCTCACAGTGGGAAGACAAATGAAGGGGCAGGAAAGAATCTTCCTGAAACTAAGAAATCTAGGAAACAATGTGAAAAGAGTTTTCTGAAAGCAAGTTTTCTGTATATGTGATGGACCTGCTGCTCAGTCAAGAGTTTTGTTTTTTCTTTTTTTCCCTTTTGGCAATGCCACTTGGCTTACAGGGTCTAGTTCCCTGACCAAGGATTGAACCCAGGCCACAGTGGCAAAAGCATCAAGTCCCAACCTCCAGACTGCCAAGGAATTTCTAATTCGAGTCTTAAAAAAAAGAGAGAGAAAAAGAAGTATCCTTTAGCTGCACTTTTGTTGATTAAACACAATTTTCCCAAACCTTCTTGCCCAAAGAGATCTATATTAAAATATGTTATCTCCTAAATGGAAAGGCAGGAACCATTCTGAAAGAATAAAACAGCTAATTTGAGAAGAGATTAAGAGTGACTGGTAGGAAACGAAGAAAGGGGTAAAAGATTATCTTGTTAGATTGCTTCATGTTTTAAAAAGAAAGTGCAAATAATTTTATTATTACTAAAAGGTGATTAACAGTAATGGAAACTATTGATAACGGAATAACAATTGTGTCCTCACAGTTAAACAGACTCAATCTATCTCTGTCCTTGTGGGTTTTAGCAAAGGTATGGCATGCCTTCTCCAGACTGAGAGGCAGTCATTCTCAAGATAAATCCTGGAACTTCTATTGGCCAGAGGATCTCACAGTGGGAAGACAAATGAAGGGGCAGGAAAGAATCTTCCTGAAACTAAGAAATCTAGGAAACAATGTGAAAAGAGTTTTCTGAAAGCAAGTTTTCTGTATATGTGATGGACCTGCTGCTCAGTCAAGAGTTTTGTTTTTTCTTTTTTTCCCTTTTGGCAATGCCACTTGGCTTACAGGGTCTAGTTCCCTGACCAGGGATTGAACCCAGGCCACAGTGGCAAAAGCATCAAGTCCCAACCTCCAGACTGCCAAGGAATTTCTAATTCGAGTCTTAAAAAAAAGAGAGAGAAAAAGAAGTATCCTTTAGCTGCACTTTTGTTGATTAAACACAATTTTCCCAAACCTTCTTGCCCAAAGAGATCTATATTACAGCAACTTATCAGGTTTTGAAATATCATCAAGAGTTATTCAGATTGCTTTCTGGTCGCCTGAGTTCATTGTGTTGTAGGTTCTAGGCCTTAAAAAAGGTCTACATCTTTTTGGAGCATTCGGCACTAAAGTATATATCTTTTACCCCAGGTTTATAGGTTTCACCTGCATCCCAGGCCATAGTAATAATATTAGTATAGATAAGAGACAGTCTCATACTTCAGAGAATGAGACCTGGATCAGGCACACAGTGTTACCCATCATTTATTTTTAGGTGTGACTAGGTAACTACATTACAGGAGCAGGAAAACATGATGCGGATTTAACGTTATCATCAAGTAAAGCACACAACCAAGTTTAATGATTGTCATAATCCTTATCTTCTTTCAGAGTAACTAATAGTGAATGGCAAGTAACTCACTAATCAGTATCTAATTGATAACTGTTTTTTAGAAACTGTTTTTCTAAGTTGGGGAAATTAAAGGAAGATGACAGTGGCACAGGAAACTGCTTGTACTTCCTGGGGAAATAGAACCTTAAATTTTAGAAAAGAATGTCTCTAGGGGTGGGACACCAAAGAAGCGTTGTTGAGAAGAGTGGAAGTGGATCACAGGTGCTGGGCGGTGAGGGAGGAAGCTGTAGTTGGCTACCTAAAATTATGTAGGACGTCCGTCTGCAGGGGTACGGCTGTAAATTTTACAGTGAGACCACTACCTGTGAGCAAGAAAAAGGCATCTCCGTGGAGCAGAGCTGTGAGACCTGATAGATTTAAATGTCTTTGAGTATCTGAAGTGCCAGGGCTGGTCGAGATGGTGGGGACCCAGTAGTGAGTGCAGTGAATGATGAACTGCAACGGTTAAATAGTAGCCTGTAAGAAGGTGTACTGCTAATGCTAGGAGGAAAAGAGTGGAGGTGGAAGGATAAACAGGGGAAGTGAGGGAAATTTCATTTAAGGGAGAACTGAGCACATTCAAAGCCAGCAGAGGAAACCCAAGCCTCAAAACCAGAGACATGAGACAGGAGGCTGCAGGCGGAAGAAAGAGTGTGAATGGGTTCGAGTGTGCTCAGGAATGTTTGGCTCTCTGCAACACCATGGACTGTGGTCCCACCAGGCTCCTCTGTCCATAGAATTCTCCAAGCAAGAATACTGGCGTGGCGTGCCCATTTCCTCCTCCAGAGGATCTTCCTGACCCAGGGATCGAACCCAAGTCTCTGCATCTTTTGCATCTCCTGAACTGGAAGGCGGATTCTTTACCATTGTGCCACCTGGGAAGCACCTTTGGAAAGGAGTAGAGTCTTATCTGGAAAGAGAAGCAAAGGAAGAGAGAAAGAGGTGCTGTCTGGAAAGACTTTAAAGTGGGAAAGGGAGTGTGAAGGCAAGCCAGTCAGGCAGAGGTGGGCTCTCTGCTGGCTCCTGCATCTATAAATGGGGGATAAGTCTTCGCCCCAGAGGGTAGCTATGGGATTCAAACAAGACAGCACTGTTAAATCCTTCAGCAGAGTGCCTGGCCTGCCCGCAGAGCCCTCACTAAGCCTGAAGCAAAGAGCGACAGGGAGGCAGGAGAGGCCAGGTGGCTCAGCGGCCGAAGTGAGTGAGGTTCGCAAGTCCCGGTGGAAGGAACAGGACAGCGGCTAATGAATGAATTCTCCCCTCTAGCAAGAGACTGGACGGTGATGCAGAGGGGGAAGGAAGTGGCATGCTAAAGTCACTAACTGCCTGACAGTGCCCTGGCACTAGGCCAAAAAAGTGTAATTAAATGTGTCTTGCTGCGCCCAAATTCCTCCCTAGAGAGTGTCCGAAGTTACAAGGGTTTAGAATGGATGAATAAATAAATACCCCCGAAGAAGGGGCGTGGAGAAGACCATCAGTGTTTAATACTTTAGTGACTGAGCCAACACAGGAGGTTTAGTGAAGGCAGAGCTGTCACTCTGCAGTGAGGGCAGGGCTGCCGCTTCTAGGGAGCCCGGCCGCCAGGTACAGGAGAGGGAAGAGAGGTGGGCAGGGCTTCGGGAAGATGAGAGGGAGGCAGGAAATGGACCAAAGCAAGCAGAGAGGCTGGTGCTGAAACGAGGTCACACAACTGGAGAGCTGGGAGCTCCTTCGACCACCGGTGGGGCAGCTGGGCGAGGAGTCGGCCAGTAAGCTTCAGGCACTCCTTCATTGCCTCTCTTTGGGTTTCCCCTTCTCTCTTCCCCGAATCTCCATAGCATCTCTGTTATCCAGAGAGTCATAAATGGGAAACTTTTTGACAATAAAGCAAAGGTTGAGGGGACTTTATATATTTCCCTGTTTAACCTTATTTTACAAATGCGGAGAGGCTCAGAGGGAAGGGCCTTGTTCAAGGTCACACAGTGAACCTGGTGCTTGAGCAGGCCTAGAAGATCACTAGAATCCTGCGCTGTGTTCCCCAGCGCCTGACCATCTGTTTGATGAAACCTACAGCTTGCTGAAGTTCCTGCACAGCCAGAGAACAGAAAGCAAGGCTCCTCCTCTGTGGAAGTTAATGATTAAAACCTTGTCTGATCTAAAGCATCTAACCCTAGTTACTAATTAAGCCAAATTCTGTGAGAAAAGACATTTCAAACAGAAGAGTGCTGTGTTCTCTTCAGTTAAATCTATAGGCCTTCAAATTACAGTAGCATAAACCGCACAGTTACAATGTTTCAAGTATGCTTAAAAATATTTCATAATGCAATACCTTAACCTCCGTAGCTTACATTTTCTCTTCACTGCATGCCACATGCTGGGTCCTGCTAAAACGATTTGTAACTTTTGGAGAAGGAATTTAACTAAAGTGACTTCACTTACAGTGTTTGAGTGAAGTAGGTAATAAAATCTGTTTGCTGTGTTCGATGTCTCCAGATAGGGCTGTAATTACACCACATAAGGAAGAAAGGTGGCTGAGTCTCAACCTAGATCATTTATGTAAACTCAGCCTTCTTGTCAACGGTGTTCTCATATTGCCTGCATCCAAACCGCAAAAATCATCTCCTGTGAACCACATAGAGACAGTGTCCAATTGCAGGCCTGTGAGACTGCTTATATTCTTTCTGTAATTGGAAGTCTGTGGTTCAAGACCAAAATCTGACATTCTGAGGTTAAAAACAAACAAATAAACAAAACTCACCAGTGAATTCCCCAGTACAACAACTATATATCTGACGCTTGTAAAAATTAAGGGTATTCTTTATACCTAAGTATTACAAATGTATACACTTTAAAAAAAAAGAAAAAAAAAAAGGCATCCTGTTCAGCTTAAAAGAAAAAAACAAGTTTGGTTCTTTGAAATGCACTTGAAAAAAAATCTGGTCCAGAAAGAAAAACAGGCAATTTCTACTATAACCAAGTTAACATCTGACAACATTTTAATCTCCTACTTCAAATATTTGGCATTATTTTTTCAACAATTTCCACCCCTCCCCCAAATCTTACAAAAACCAAGAAGCAAAAAGTATAGCCAGACTGTATTGCAAGAAGACAAAGCATGTTTTTTTCTTAATCATTAGACTGGCCTCCATTATGACAAATTGGTCACTGGGTTTTCATTTGACGGTCCTCCCTGGCCAGCACTGACAGCGTTTCTGACACCTGCAGCTCCCAGCTTGCCCTGTCCTCTCTAGAAGGAAAACCACAGGCCACCGCCCTGGCGCCATCCCTGGCTCGGTCCAATCAATAAGGACTTATTTCCTGTCCATTTGCTGAGGTCACAGGAGCGAATCTCATTAATTATTTCTGCTACTGAAGCCTCAAGTGTGCTTCTGGCATGACAACTGAAAACTGCTTGACCTTTTTTCTTCTAATTTTGTTTGCAGCAGATCCAAAAAGAAGGCAGTATTCATTTAGCAGTGTGATAAAAAGAAGAAAAAAAATGTATATGTTGTTGAAGTCATTAACACATTTAGATATTTCATCATGAAATCTCCCGATCACCTCCTTCCCCAATTTTTTCAGCCAACGAACAATAGTCTTTTTAATTTGGTGTCAGGAAAATCTCATCACAGCAAACACAATGTTTTCTAAAGCAGTTCTGGCCTCCGAGGGAGGAAAGCTCTCCAGGGCCTCCAGTGCTTTGTTTCCATGGTAACGACACAGGTCAATAGCTGAAGTCACACCTTTGCCAGCTTTGATTGTTTCTCGCAACTGTTAAGAAACAAATGCACAGTAAAAGTCAGTTTTTAAGGTACCACAATTAAACTGGGGAGGGGAGCTGGAAAATGAAGAAGGGGAGAAACAGAACAGATTCACTGTTTCTGCTTTTGAGGTTAAAGAGGACATCATTCCCCAATGATTTGGAGGCACTAACATTGCCTAAGGCTGCTAGGTGTCAGCCCTCCAGAGCAGAACAATAGGCTCCAATCAGCCTAATTACACCTCCTCCCTAACTGCCACCCAGTGATAGCTTGAAGTGAGCCCTGTTAGAGGGTGGAGGTGAGGAAGGTGGAAGGGCATTTACATCTCTGGCATTTTGAATTCAGCAGCCTGATATTCTAAGGTGAAGAAGACTTCATTAACATCCTATTAATAACTAATATTTTTACACTGTATGTTGACACAATAGTTCACATGAAAATTCAAGGAAAAAAAAAAGAAAATTCAAGAAAGACACACAATAGATCTGAACACTACATTACTAAAGCTGTAAGACTCTGGGACAAATGAATTAAAATGCCTTTTGTAAAGCATAAGGTCAACTCTTGCTCACAAAGGGAGCTGATTTCCAATCCCTCTCCTTGACAATCAGAAAGGACCAATACAATAATTACACTTTATAGCTGAAGAAGAGTTATAATGATTGGCCGGTCCACTTCTCCTTGCCCCATTCCATCTTTTCTTTCTCAATGAAAACCTCTAATGTCTGCCTCACTCCCTAAACCAGATACTTGGGAGTCCTCCTTCATCCATCCAGGCACCATGGCTCACCCATGGCTGAACTTTTTGCACACCCCCTGGTTGGGTGAGGCCCGCTGGCAAGTTCTGGTCCATGAGACGTGAATGGTGCATGTCACTTCTGAGCTGTAGCACTTAGCCATCCATGGGAGTCCCGCCAGAGCCTTCCCTCTGGTAACTCAACTGGTCTCATTGGAGAAGTTCCTCAGGTTGGACTGGAGTGACCACAGTGAGCACCACGATCCTCCCCAATCAGAGCAGAACGTCATAAGGGCAAGAAACTTGTCTGCTGTCTGAAGAGACTGTCAAGTTGTCTGTGGCCATCTTGACTGATACACTCACTAAGTCCCAGCCATTCTAGCTCATACAGAGCCGTCATATTATCATCTACTCTTCACTCTCATTGCCATATTTGTTCAGGCTATCATCATCCCTTGCCTAGGTTATTTTTGCAATCACCTCCTGAAGAGTCTTCCCACTACCAGCTCTTTCCCTCTGGACTCCATCCTTCATGCTGCCAAGGAGCTTTTTATAAAATGCAAATGTGTTCTTGCTTAAAACCATCCACTGCCTTCCAAGAGCTCTAAGAAAAAAAGAAGTCCAAGCTCTTTCATGAGGCATGGGAGTCCTTTATCTGTCTAGCTCTTTCTCAGCCTGTTTCTTCCCTTTCCCTGTTTCATCATTACTTAGGGAACCTACTTACATCTGATGAGGTCTTCCCTGATAGCTCAGTTGGTAAAGAATCCACCAGCAGTGCAGGAGGTCTGGGTTCGATCCCTGGGTTGGGAAGATCCCCTGGAGATGGGAAAGGCTACCCACTCCAGTATTCTGGTCTGGAGAATTCCATGGACTGTATAGTCCACTGGGTCACAAAGAGTTGGACACGACTGAGCGACTTTCACTCACTTCACTTGTAGGACTGCTGGTGGGTACTATACGAGACAGTACAGAGTGCTTGACAGTGTCTAAAACACTACAGATATTCAGAATGACTTAATTCTTCTTCCTCCTCAAGCCCTTAGCCACTGCCAGGAAAGCTACTCCAGCCACCAAGATGAAGTCTATTTTAGCTTGATGCATAACANTCTAAAACACTACAGATATTCAGAATGACTTAATTCTTCTTCCTCCTCAAGCCCTTAGCCACTGCCAGGAAAGCTACTCCAGCCACCAAGATGAAGTCTATTTTAGCTTGATGCATAACAACCTCACAGGTAGTTGAACTTGGATTAGACCAGCTTAAAGACTGAAAAAAAAAAAAAAAGGAAGAGAAAGGACATACCTCTTATTTTCATTAGTAGGCATTAGGGGAACCAGGGTGGGGGGGTGTGCTCTGAAAACCAACCTAAGAACTTTATTTAAAAATTTTTATCATAAAACATTTTTTATTTTTCTTTTCTATTTTTTTGCTGTGCTGCAGGGCATGCAGGATCTGTTCCCTAACCAGGGATTGAAGCTGTGCCCCCTGCAGTGGAAGCATGATATCTTAACCATGGGACCACCGGGGAAGTCCCCTGAATATTTTACAAGCGCAGAAAAGTTGAAAGAGTAGCACAGGAGTTGGCAACCTACAGCCTCAGACCAAAGGCTCAGATCAGGACTGATGCTGAAGCTGAAGCTCCACTACTTTGGCCACCTGATGCGAAGAACTGACTCACTGGAAAGATCCTGATGCTGGGAAAGATAGAGGGCGGGAAGAAAAGGGGATAACAGAGGATGAGACGGTTTGAGTTTGAGCAAGCTCCAGGAGTTGGTGATGGACAGGGAAGCCTGGCATGCTGCAGTCCATGGGGTTGCAAAGAGTTAGACATGACTGAGTGACTGAACTGAGCCTCAGACCAAATGTGGCCTCCCTGTTTTTATAAATTAACTTCTACTGGAATATAACATGCCCATTCACTTAAGTATGGTTGCTTCTGTGCTGTAACAGCAGAGAGGCAGAGCTGAGCAGCACCTAGACTCAACAATCATTAATACTGTGCTATTTTTGCTCTATCTACTTGTATGTGTGTTTTCTGAATCATTTGAAAGTAAGCTGTAAGCAGTGGTAAGCTGCTTAATTACTCTCCAGAGGAGAAAAAAAACCCTACTTGTAGATTTTGTGGTTTGCATACTCCCATCATGGTGGATTTCAAGCTACCAAGGGTTGCACAATAACAGAATTCTTAAATATTTAACAATTGGCTCTGAGTTGGCAGGACATGAGTTGGATGCACCATGAGCTGTAGGATGCTTTACCCTTGTTTTGAGAAGTATCTCCTAAGATAAGAACATTTTCCTAAGATAAGAACATTTTCCTACACGGCCAGAACTCTATTATCAGAACTCGGAAAGTTAACAGTAATACTCTCCTATTATGTAATATCTAGTGTACCTGTAAATTTTCCCAACTGGCTCCAAAATTTCTTTTTTAGCCTTTCAATGCCCACCCCCATCTTCGAAACTGTAATAAATCCTGGTTCACACACTGCATTCAGTTGTTATGACACTTTAAACTTCTTCCTCCCCCTACAATATTGCCATTTTTATAGGACCAAGCTATGTTGTACAGTATTCTACATTCTGCATTTCTCTGATTGGTATGCTGAGTATGTTAGTCTATAAACTTTATTCAGTCAGGCTCCACTGAATATTTGATGCTGACTTATACGGCATTTAATGGGCTTCCCTGGTGGCTCAGATGGTCAAGAATCTGCCTGCAATGCAGGAGACCTGGGTTCACTCTCTGGGTTGGGAAGATCCCCTAGAGAAAGAAATGGCAACCCACTGTAGTACTCTTGCCTGGTGAATTCTATGGACAGAGGAGCCTGGTGGGGTATGGTAGTTAATCCTATGTGTGTGCATGCCAAGTTGCTTCAGTCATGTCAGACTCTTTGCAACCCCATGGACTGTAGCCTGCCATGCTTTTCTGTCCATGGGATTCTCCAAGCAAGAATACTTGAGTAGGTTGCCATGCCCTCCTGCATTGGCAGGTGGGTTCTTTACCACTAGCACCACCTGGGAAGCCCATTTAATCCTACAATGAAGGGTAATTCAGATTATGGCGAAATAGCACCCAGGAGGGCTTCATTGGTGGCTCAGTGGTACAGAATCCGCCTGCCAATGCAGGAGATGTGGGTTCAGTCCCTAAGTCAGGAAGATCCCTGGTGTAGGAAATGACAACCCACTCCAGTATACTTGCCTGTGAAATCTCATGGACAGAGGAGCCTGATGGGCTACAGTCCATAGGGTCGCAAAGAGTCAGACAAAACTGAGCAACTGAACACACACATACACCCAGGAGGACATCTCTAAAAGTTACTCATGCCCTAAAAAGAGTTAATTTCTCTTTCCCAATGACTATTCTACTTCCAGTTAATACTCCAATCTGCTCTCCACAGAGTTGGCTCAAAAGACTTTGCATACCAAGGACCCAATAGCTTCCATGTGTAAAGTGCCCATTTCAGGACTCAGTGGTAATCTAATCCTTCACGGAAGGCATTAATATTATTCTTCATAGGCATCTATATACACTTCCACCAACTAAACATAAACTACTGGTTCAAAGGAAATCCTTCAGATATAATTAATAGGGTATAACTGAGATTCATTTTTACTATAAATTAGAATAGGCCATGAGTTCATCCAGAAAAATACAATATTGGAAAATACAGAAAAGTACAAAAACAGAAAATACAAATATAAAAAATACAAATAACAGAAAAATAATATACAAAAAGAAATACAAAAATACACAAGACACATTAAGCTGGAGTTCCTAAACCTGGCTGCTCATAAGATTCACCTGGGTAGCTTTAACATACAGATACCTAGACCTCATTCCTGGAGATGGATTCAGTAAGGCCTTAAAAAAATACTTCTTAGGTCACTTCAATGATTAACCAGATTTGTGAGTACCTCACTCACTGGGGCATGTATTTGGAGTGATGATATTTTAAAATTATCATGTTGGATTTATACTGTTTTAACCACACTTGCAAAGTGTTGTCTTTGTGATGATCAGATTAAATTCAGCAAGCATTTATTGGGCACCTCTATGCCATAGCTATATAGTAGGGGCTAGAGGTACAGACGGAGAAGGCTATGGCACCCCACTCCAGTACTCTTGCCTGGAAACTCCCATGGACAGAGGAGCCTGGTAGGCTGCAGTCCACGGGGTCACTAAGAGTCGGACACGACTGAGTGTACAGTATCACCTGAAATAAATTAAGTCCAAATCACCTGTTAGAGGATCCATTAAAAATATTAACACA